CGCGTGAAAAGTAGACAGGCAAGGAGGTCCTTTAAAAAACTTAAGGGACCCTCAGTGCAAGATTTCCAAAACGTCCAAACCCTGTTACCGCTATGGTCTTCCCACAAAGTGACTTAATCCAGGAACTTAGAGAGTGAGCACATGTTGCTCCATGTGCCCAAAGGACTAGCGGCTACTACTCTACCCTGCTCCCTACTCACAGCTATCTAAATGGTTGCAAGAAACGGTGTTTCTTGCAGCTACTAAAAATGAACAGAACCCCTCCCCCAAGAACAGTGAAGTTCCCATTGCTTCGGGATTTTTTTGCCAAATGGATCCAAGCCGCTTCGGCGGTGGCTTGGACGGCTCCTCGCCAGCCTGGCTCAAGTCATGGCGAGTCTGACTTCCCAGAAGAAGTCAAGCCCCCCAATGCAAATGTCCCAAGGGTCAGCATTCTCCTCGGTCCTCCAGTAGGGTGTTTACGAGAGAGTGTTTCTGCCACCCATCATGCGGAAAAAAAAGGAAGAAAAACAAGAAAAAATAAAAGAGGATCTTCATTGGCAAGCTCTTCTCAGGTGGTGGCAGGGGGCTTGTTGTAAGAGCATCACAAGTAGGTCCTCCAGTAAAGAGCTTAGAATAAGGGTACCAACTTTTCTGCGGTCTATTTTCATAGGGAAACTGCCAAAAATGTAAAAGGGCACTACTGGGAACCTAGTCTCTGTCTCGTGCCATGGGGATCCGTCCCACTGGCGTGGAGGGCCAGCATTGACCGTTGCTTGTTTAAAGAGAGCCGTGGCTTGGGCCTATATACACCCAGCACGGGGGGTAGCTCGATTTTTGTTGAGGCTGCCCGTTGGGGCTGAAGCTCTCGAGGAACACCAAAGGGTTTCCCACATCTTCTTGGAGAGTTCCCTACTTTAAGACACACCCAAGACTCGGAAAACGGAAGCCGTTCAACAGGCCCTTTCGCCCCCTAGCCAGTCACATGCCAACAGTAGCAAGCGCATGGGTTTGAGAGGGGCCTTCTGGTCAACAGCAGAGTTTGCCTTTAGTCCTTCTCTTTGGGAGCCCTTTTAGAGAGTCCTTTTAGACCTATCCTTTTAAGTTGATCCCCGCTTCAAAAAGAAGACAAACACCTTGATTTCTTGTTTACTCGTATTTCTTCGCAAAGCTCATGGCCGGAAGCCATGGCCAGAAATGGCCGGAAGTCTGGAACATGTCATGACATTGCTATGTGCTAGCGAACCACATGGCTAAACTGTTGCTCAAAGGGTAATCATAAATATAAAGACCACCTTCACCCATCCAGGCTCTCATCACCGCAAGTCCTACGACAATCCAAGCACTCACTGTAGTGCCTGCCTCATTCTACTTCATAGGATTCAACCCCTAACCCCGGCTCCTGTCCCAAAACAAGACCCCTTTTTTCCGCAGGAAACCAGAAAGTGCAGGGGAGCTTCGGGACCTCGGACAGCTGATTGAGCTTTGCTTTTTTTCTGCAGGGCTGGTTGCAAACCCATGCGCCAACCAACCCCCCGCTAGGACGCCAAAAGAAGGCAACAAACCTAGCGGACTGAACGAGGTGGCGCAACCCTCGTGTACATTGCCAGGATCCACCAACCCCGAAACCCCATGTTTCCGTCCTCCTCTTCCTCCTCGCCTGAGAGCTCCGGATTTGCTGGAGGGAGTCCCTTTAAAACAACGAACCAAAAAAGTTACCAACTCCCAAAACGACGAGCCACCCGACTTGAGCATCCGAAAGCATCCGAAGGCATCCAAAGGACGCCTCCCGAAACCCAAGCCCAAGATGACAAATCCGCGGTCGTGGGAAGGAAATGCAAACAGCCCACAACCGACAAACAAATCAGCCAAACAAACAAACAAAGTCAAACACAGAAACCAGACAGAGTCAACTAAGTAACAGTCAGTTGGCAGCATGGGAACCTGGTAGCCCCTTCAAATCCCAATGTACAAACGACTCTTTTTCCTAGCGCCCAAAACCAAGATAGGCCGTTCTAGTATGTGGTATACCTGGTTTCATGATGGTTGTAACGTAAGGCTTGTTAAAAAAAGCTTTGTGACCAGACATTAGGAACCAACGGCCCGTGAGTAACCAAAAGGCCAGGTACAATGCTTTGCAACCAGAAGGCCAGTAAGACTTTGTAGCCATGTTGATGGAACCACAACCCACAAAATCCCAGAAAACGCCGAAATAAGTAGCCTTCAGGTTTCCTTGTTTGTTTTTCTTTTTTCAATTTAGCTCCTGTGGTTTGCTACCCGGGTGTCAAACATCCACTGGGACATGGCGCTTCTGACGCACGATCCGGTCCGAGCTGCTTTCGTCGCCCTTCAAATCGCCCATCCACTGCTGGAAGAGCGTGGGCTGCAAGTCGAGGTCTTCGTCTTCCTCACTCGACGCACTAAAACACGTGCATTGGCCAAACAAGTCTAGACGGAGTTCTGTGTTTTGGCGTTGGTTTCCCCCAAAGTGAATAAAGTCCAGGAACTGAGTTTGAGAAACCAGAAGGAACATCTACCGGAAATCCTTCTTCAGGTAGCCAATTTCCGGCAGACATACCTGTAGCTGGTGATGAAAGGCAAGTTGCCCTGAGGCCTCTGGTGCTTTCATACGTTTCTGGAAAAAAGGGGCCCGTTTGTGGACGATGCGCCTGGGTGGTTGTGTGGCCGTGTGCCTGTGTCTGTATCCGTATCTTTCTGTGCATCTGTTTTTTTTGTTTCTCTGCGGGTTGTCAACATGTCTAGCGCCTTTGGTTGAGATTGGTGCCCTTGGAAACCTCTTCCAATCCTCGGCCGTTGGAACTTCATCGGAATGCGTCACGGGCCATCTTTCCAAACCAGCGGAGGCCGCGTGACACCTGCACCACGCCCGCGGTGTGCGTGATTCGCGGCTTGTGACATATGTTTCTTCGCGGATCTAGGACTAGTCCTATCTGCTTTGGTAAGTTGCAGTGACATGGCCATGGGTTACAATCCCGTAACCGCAGTGAACATCCCCATCCCCACTACAATAGACCAAAATGGGTGGTGCACCTACCCCAAAATGGTACCATTGGTTTTGACCCACAGCCACATCAGCGGACCCTCTGGTCTCAAAAGTCCCACAAACGCAACTCAGAGATGTGTCATCGCCACCAGCATTGGAAGCGCGCATGCTTTCCATGATGGCCAGGCTCAAGGGCAAACCAACGGTTTCGGCCTCGCGGGGGTGAGCACAAAATCACTGCCCAAGGAGTCAGCACCAAGCCATGCTGTTCGACGGCTGGGTCAATCATGCCTTTCCATACTAATTACAGACTGCCACCTCAAACTATGCAGAATACTCTAGGCCATCCGGAGCCTGGCACGGGCATTTCTCAGTGACTGTAACAACCAGCCCTGACGAAAATGCCTCACATAATAATTAAAATGCAGGGTGCAACGCCAGAAAGAGTCTGACTCCCGTATGCCCCCTTTGCCAGCCGCGAGCGACAACAACGCTGAAGCAGCCCCCGACCCGACTACCATACTCACGACCACCTGCTCACCTACCCGCCGACCAACTGATCGATCTTCCCCCGGTAGCCAAGGACCCCCACCCCCCCCCCCGCCGACCAACTGATCGATCTTTCCCCGGTAGTCAAGGACCCCCCCCCCTTTGAAGCCTCAACAACCCCCCCCCCGGAGCAACCCACGTTTTGCCAGGCCCAACTTCTTGACTACCCCCCAAAATAGACCCAAACCCAGGAACGCTTCTTTCTCCCCAAAGGGCAATTAATTTCTGGGTGTAAGTCTATCTTGGGGTAGTCCAAAAGTGGAGCCCGGCGGGTTTTTCTCTTCTGGCGCGGCGGAGCGGCTTTGTGTACCGGCATCTTGCGCAGCACCTCCTCCTCCGCGTGCGCGTGGAAGGTCAGCTCCACCTTGTAGTCCAGGCCCGCATAGGCGTCGCCTCCGCTCACGGACGCGCCGAGAGGCGATTTTTTGTGCCGACGCGGTTTTGGGCGCCCTGGCTGAGTTGTTCAGTCACCCTGGAAAAAGAAAGGGAACCCTTGTTGGGGAAGACCATTTTTAGTGGGGCAGCCACAAAAAAAGAAGGAAAACGGGTGCCACTGAACAACTGAGCTGGGGGAGCTGTGGATGGGCGAAATCCTCGGCACTACGAAACGAAACCATGGCCAAATCATGGGGTTTCTGTGGTGCAGGATTGCGGCCATCAGCAATTACGGCCCTGGGAGAAGCACTCGCCTGAGTTCCTACGGACAATGAACCTAGGTGTCCTTTGGCAAGAACTTTTGGGAATAGAAACAAACTGGACCAGCGTCGATCATTTTTCAAGCAACATGATCCAAGAAGGATGCCAATGTGGGAGTGTGACTCTATGTCGCTAAATTGACATGGCATCGACAGGAAAATGACCGATGTGGCTGGCTGCCACTTTCTTGAAACAGGTTCCTCAATCTCCGAGGGTCGACTAAACACTTGTAGCATGGAAAGGCCAATATCCGCACACTGGCTTCAGGGGGGTTGCCCGGCGAAACGCTTCTGGGCTTTCCGAAGATTCCCTAGTGTCGAACTTTGCGTGGCTGAAGAGCCTTAAGGAACCGGACGATGGGAACCGCCCAGATTTGAACTCCAACACCTGAACTCTCAGCACTCCGGGCGCTGATCAGCCGATAGATTGCACGCCATGGCTTCCACTGGTATCCTTCCCATGCGCATTGAAGTCCAACATGCTATCCATGAAATCGCTGTCACGAAAATGCATTGTGCCTCACTTTCCCCGTGTTGCCTGAGCTTGCACCCCCACCCTCAACCAAACTCAGATGTTCGAGTCTGGTTCCAGATTCTTTTGTGTCTTAACCTGTAACAACACTAAAACAGCCAGGAGATCCCTAGGTTTAATGACAAACTCACGGGTCCCCGATGGGCCCCGCCCCGCCCCGCCCCGCCCCGTTACTCAAGACTCATCCCTGCGTCCGTGTGGCACAAGGCATGGAGGACCAGGTTGTTCTCCCCTGCCTTGGTCACCTCGGGGACTCAAAGCTATTGCTGAAGCTTGGTGCCTTGGAGGTTTGGACCAAGGCACCTGGAAGAACCAAGGCTTCAAATCCCCAAAGTGGAGGTTTGGACTTTACCCCCTGGAACCTGGTGCCTTGGAGGTTTGGACCAAGGCAGCTGGAAGAACCAAGGCTTCAAATCCCCAAAGTGGAGGTTTGGACCTTTACCTGGAAGACCCAGGGATTCAAATCCCCAAACCAATCCAAACTGTAGAGGGATTGCCTGAATGTCTGCGGCTTCTCCGAAGAAACAAGTTGCTACCGTGCTACCTATGGAAAGAGAGCAGGAAGGGTATAGGAAGGGCGCAGTCCAGGCGCACCGGAATTCTGCGACATGCTCTCTGCATTGTGTTCGGACAGGGACCGAAACACCAAAACTCTAGGGGTTGGTTCCTTTTCCATTCTTTTCAACCATAGTTCTTTTCAAAAACCGGATCTGTGTCCCCTGGGTGTTTGATAGTTTCCTGAAAAGAATGGGGAAGGTACCCCTAGACTAACAAGTTTGCAGAAGTGTTTGGCCGGCGCAGACATGCACAAAAGCCACAGCGTGCAGCATGTCGCCATGTTGATGCTTAGTCACACCCAGCGTAAACGTCAGGCAAAGAGGAGAGGACAACTGTTCCATCTACTTTCACCGCAGGGTATGTCTTCCCAAGGTCAGCAATGGATAGCATTGGATCGCAGCTTCCCAACATGCCCCAATTCAGCTGTCATATGCCCAAGAAGCCTCCCATGGATGCCTTGCATTTGGTTTCCCTAGCCAGAATGGTGTCAATGGAGAACCCGGTGAATCGTTAGCACTCAACCTCCGCCTAAATTGAAAGGGTCCCTCAACAAAATCATCCCAAGAAATACGTCCTTCCCTTCGGTTCCCCTTCGTGAGCCAAGCAATTACCAAGTAGGGGCACCAACTCGTTGAACAAAAAGTACCCACAACCCCCCCCAAAGCCCCAAGTAGCCCACCGATGGCTAAAGCCCAAAACACCCCCAACTCCCCCACACGCGCACACACACACACACACCAAAACTCCCCCCCAAACCCCCCCCCCCAAAACACCTACCCAAGAGGACCCCCCAGTTGGATAAAATCCCCTCAACCGACCAATTCACATAATATTTTTCATCAATTCATAACAGAACCTCAACTCAAGATTTGATACATGAATTTTGCAAATACTTTTCTAAATTTTCAAAAATATATTTTTCCAAAATCCCAAAATATAGAATCCACATAATTCTCAATACATAAATCTTACAATGTTTTTTATTGTAAGGTTTATGGTGTAATTTCAATTCATATTGTTTCAATGTCAACAGGTGTTTCTTCAAGAATAGTTGGTGTTTCCTTTCGCTTCTCATTCTCAATATGCTTCAACGTTTTCAAATGTCTAGACATCCAGTATTTTTTGATTTTACATTTACAAATTTCACAATCTACTTCAATTTGATTATACACTTTCTGCCATTCCTTCTTTTTTGCACTTATTTCTTCCTTATGCTCTTCACGGTATTGTTTGTTTCGTGCATTTCTCTGTTCTTTATTCCTCTGGTGCTTTTCTCTGTTCTTTTCTAGACACCTTACACAATATTTATTTATTCCGTTGAATTCTTCAACTGGTTTCGTGGCATTACATCTTTTACAATATTGCTTCTCCATAATATCTATTGGTGGTATGTCCTTAAGTCTAAACCATGCCTCAACTTCCAAAATCCCAAATTCCCAAAATATATTTTTCCAAAATCCCAAAATATAAAATCCCCATAATTTCAAAACATAAATCTTACAATGTTTTTTTATTGTAAGGTTTATGGGTTAATTTACTAGTCATAAGCCCTGCCCACCATTTTCGGGGCACCCTGACCGCCACTTTTCGGTCACCCTGACCGCCTGGCCGCCACTTTTCGGTCACCCTGGCCGCCTGGCCGCCACTTTTCGGTCACCCTGGCCGCCTGGCCGCCACTTTTCGGCCACCCTGGCCGCCACTTTTCGGCCACCCTGACCGCCACTTTTCGGTCACCCTGGCCGCCTGACCGCCACTTTTCGGCCAGCCTGACCGCCACTTTTCGGCCAGCCTGACCGCCATTTTGCGGGCATCATTAAATCCAAGCGACTTTGCTATGGTTCCTACACTTCCAGTTCCACTAAATAATTCTAATAAATTCATATTGTTTATTAGAATGATTTAGATAATGTTTTAGAAATATACATATTTATCATCTTCCTTAATAATCTTATAGTATTCTAATGTTTGTTCTTTTGGACTTTTGATTTGTCCCTTATTTAACATATCACAATATATTTTACGCTTCGTGTCATAATCACCGCTGGGTCTGCCTATCCCTTTCTTTTCAAAGATCTTATCAATCTTTTCCTTCTCTTCATTGTTATCTTTTGGTTCGTTTGCCTTTGCATCAAGTTTCTGGTCAATAGTTTTTATCATCTCGTGCAACAGTTTAACATTTTTACTAACTGTCATTATCTTCCTTGATAGTTCAGCAATAGCATCATTCTCAACTTCAGACATTTCTATATATACTTATTTGTATAATTATTTATTTAAATATTTATTTATGCGTTTTATTATACAGTTTACCTAAATAATATAATGTTACATATGTAAATAAATTATATTCTAACAGTCTTTCACCAATTTTATTGTTCATTTTTATTAAACCTTCCTCGTCACCTGTAATTTCAAAAAACTTCAATATTTTACTAAATTTGTCTGGTTTAGTTATACCTTTCATAAAATATTTATCATTGAATTTAGCATCAAACCAATAAAAATATTCTTCGCTCAATTGTTTAGCAAAGTTTTCATCACCATTAAATAGGTCTTTAATTTCTTCATCGTCAAAAGTTATAACTCTATGGTCTTCTCTATTCATAGTTGGCATTATGATTATACAAATAATTAGATTTTTATTTAATTATTTATTTATAAAATTGATTTAATGTAAAATCTACTCTTTAAATACTAATTTATCCCCATTTTGTATTATAGTTGTGTTCCCAAGTTTCTTCGCGTGAGTTTCCGTTGGTTTCTTTGGTTTTCATTGTATGAATTATTATATTTTTATCAATCTTCCACATTTTTACACGGCAGGCACTTAATGTCAGCACCGTCTTTATCAACTTTGATTTCATTAGCGCGATTGTCTTGTCCTGTTTGTTCTACATACTGATAGTCGCTATAATCATAATTTTCCATTGCTGTTAGTCTGTCTTCAATCGTTTTTATATTTTCGTCCATTGCTTTACTAATTTCTTTCTGTGTTTCTTGGTGATTTTCTATTAATTCACTCATCTGTTCTTGTTTTCCTTTTTGTTCTTTTAGTGTCTTTTCAATTTTATCTTGTCCTTTTTTCTGGTCCTGCATTAATTTAACTATTCTATTTTCTTCTTGCATTTGGTCATTAATTTTGCTTTTGACCATTTATATTAATATTTACATTTTTATTTTTGATATATTGTATTCCTAATTTTATTAATTCTAATGAACAATTGTTTAAATAATGTAAAATCTACTCTTTAAATACTATGTTATTACCCTATTAAAACTAACATTGACTAAATGGTCATTTGTTTCTATTGTCATATCTCCGTCCTTCTTCTTCACTACACTCATTTCTTGGTCTTTCTTTTTGACTGATAACATACACGGAATACATTTAATATTAACACCGCCTTTTTTATCTACTATTAATTCATTTTGAAAGTTCATAATATGATTACATTTATCACATTTTATTTCTTTACTCGCACCTAATGATTTAACACTTACTGTTGTTTCTTTCCGAGCTTCAATATCTGGCATTGGTCTTTCATTATCTAATATTGAATTTGATTTACTCTTTTTCTTTCTTGGCATTTATATTAATATTTACATTTTTATTTTTGATATATTGTATTCCTAATTTTATTAATTCTAATGTACAAAAGCATACTTTCTTACATCTGTTGTCAGTTATTATTACTTGTTCTATATTCTCTACTTCATCTATTATATCAATATAATCTGAATAACTTCTATCCATATAAATAATAAGATGAAATAATTATTAAAAATAATTATTTGATCTTATTATTTTCATGCATAATAGAATATTGGTGGGGCACAGCACTTGGGTTTTCATTGCACACGCGAGCAAGACACAAAACTAATTATCTTCAATGCTTATTGATTGAAGTTGATGAAAGAGCCTGTTCTACTACGATGGACACCATTCATATCATAGCAATGCTTCCATACAATAAATAATATTAAATTATTTTCTAAATATCTTTAATATTATTTTATTATGCCTGATGTAAAACCAATTGATGAAATCAAATATGACTTTAAGCAAAGCAAGCACGAAGTCGTCCCTAAATTGCCGATGAGAGCTATGATTGTGGGCCCGTCAGGCTCTGGAAAGAGCACGCTACTTGTATCAATGATACTTGATATTTATAGAGGAGCATATGAAAGAATTTTTATCTGGTCCCCATCTGTAAATTTGGATAGCATTTGGTTGCCTGTTAAAAAATACATTAAAGAAGGTTTAAAAGTTGATACTGATAAAGAATCGTGTTGGTGGGATGAGTTCAATGTTGAAGATTTAGAAAGAGTTATAGAAACTCAAAATAAAATAATTGAATACCAGAAAAAACAAGGAACGAAGAAATTATTTAATATTTTGGTAATTTTGGATGATGTATCTGATAATCCAGCAATAACAAGAAATAACAAATTGTTAAATTCTTTATTCTGTAGGGACGTCATAGTGGAATATCAACGCTTGTCAGTCTTCAAAAATCATCAACCGTGCCACCAATTATTAGAGTAAATATAAGTCATTTGTTTTATTATAAAGTTAGAAACTACAAAGAAATTGAAATATTGCAAGATGAATTATCAGCAATTGTTAGAAGCGATAATTTACACGAAAGCAAGAAATTAATTTATAAAATATATGAAACTGCCACTG